CCAGTCACAGAAAGGCAAATTCTGTAAGCTTCTCCTTGAAGACGCATCTAAAATAATCAACTCATGAGAACAGACAGCGGACGACTGCTGCCAGCGGCTGGGCGGAAACGCCAGTGGGGCGCTGCTCAGAGGACAGAAAGTTTCCATCAGGCACCAAAACAGCCACAGAGACCCACTGTGCAGCCGCACCTGTAAGGAACAGTTCTCCCAGGAAGGGCTCCGATCACCCGTAAACTTCTTCATCTATTTTTGCTGTGCTGGGGGTCAATTCCAGGACCTTGTGCCCACCAGGCAAGTGCTCCACCTGAGCAGTGCCCCCACCCAGGGCGGTGGTGGTCGCTGTTGTTGAGACAAAGGCCCACTGTGCTGCCCAGGCCGGCTTACCTCGTCCTCTGGCGGAGTGGGGACCCATCCAGACACCTCCACACCCAGCTCAAGATTAAAACAACAACAACAAACTCTGCAAAACACTTAGGAGAAAATATAGGAGCAGGCCGGGGATTTAGCTCAGCGGTTCCACCACTTGCCTTGCAAGTGCAAGGACCTGAGTTCGAGTCCCAGTACCCCAAAAAAAGACATTAAGAAAACATAGGAGGAGTACAGCTTCAAAACTTAAGATAAAGCCTATGACACCAAAAACAGAAAAAGAAAAAAAAATTGGGGGGTGGGTTGAGACAGGGTCTCACTGTGTAGTTGAGACTGACCTGGAACTCACTATGTAGCCCAGGCTGGTCTCAAACTCACAATGATCCTCCTGCCTCAGCCTCCTGAGTGCTGGGATTACAGGTGTGCGCCACAACACCCGGCTCAGAAAAAGAAAAATAGATATTATACTTTTTCAGAATAAACAATTAAGCTTCAAAAGATACCAAAAAGAAAATGAAAGGACAACCCAATGAAGGGGAAAAAGTATTTATCTGACAGTGGATTTCTATCTAGGATATATAAAGAACACAAAACTCAATAAAAGATGGTCGCTCAATTTCAAAATGGGCACCAAACATCATTTAAATGGGAGACAGATTTAACACACTCTCCAAAGGCACAATGACCAGGAAGCCCACAGGAAGACCCTGCTCTTCACTGATGGTCAGAGAGATGCTGTTTCGCTGTGTCTGGGTGTCCCCCCAAAGCCCCCTGTGGTCTCAGTGTGGCTTTTCCAGAGCTGGCTGAATCTAGAGTGTGCGACTGACTCATGGTGCGGTGCTAGGCCAGAGGGCACAGGATTAAGGGTGTGAGTGGTGGCCCCTAAGGAGTCTGGATGACATAAAAGGGCAGGAAGACCCTGTTAAGGTCCCTTGTGGCTTCTGCCACTGTGTGGGCACCAGAAGAGCTCCTCCTCTGTGACGCCCCTCCCTTACCCCTTGTTGCTTCCGCTGTCTTCCGCTCCCAGGAACGCCACCCCTCTGCCAGACCACCCTGCTTTGGAGCAAGCCAATTACAAACTGAAACCTCTACAAACTGCGAGCTGAACAAACCTCCCTTTAATTTTGGTTACCAGGTATTTTGTCTCAGCAAAAAGAAAAGCAAGTGAGACAGACACTACTGGCAATGACAGCCAGATGCGGCTCTGAGCATGGGACGCCACGCTCAGACGCTGACGAGAGCTCACAGGACGTGGGGACATGAGTGCTGGCCACACTGCCGGAAGGTGGCAGGTCTCCTGCGGGACACAGCCGCCACCGAGCGCTCCCACTGCCAGTCGCCGTGCTGAGGCCACACGCTTGGCTCATTCCCCAACGGCCAAGAGCATCAGCCCCGAGGTGCCGTGACAGACCCAGTGTCCTGCGCCTCCTTTCCCTCCTTGCCCCAAGTACAGGGCCGCAGCTCTTGCCCATAAGTGGGGCTCTTGGGACAATGCTGGGCCAAGACCTCTCTCCCCACCCAGAAGTGGAAAATGACCAGCCTTGGCACTAGATAAAGACACCCTAGGCTGGGCATGGTGATGCACGCCATAACCCCAGCATTCCGGAGGCTGAAGCAGGAGGATCACTGCAGGTTCAAGGCCATCCTGGGCTACATAGTGAGACGCGGTCTCAACAAAACAGAACAAAGATGTCCTCATGCTTCGTGTTGCTGCCCTGTTAGCCACAGGCCACATACACCAAGATGCTTAGAGGGACAGGAGATGAAAGGCTCAAAAGAGGACAGATACGTGAAACCGGAGAGGCAGAAGGGTGACGGCAGGCTGTGGAAGGAAGTAGGGCTCCACGGAAAGGCAGGTGGTCCCAGGAGCGCCGAGGCCCGGAGCCCTGGAGAATACAGCCCCCACCTTAGGTCTAAATGAAGCCCAGGGCATGGCACTCGGCGCGGCCCAAAGCAGCCAGGGCCCCGTCCGAGGAACACAGCTGCTTCCCACCCAGCCCCCAGGCGCGGGAGGCCTGAGCGGGTCCCACAGCTGGGCAGCAAGGCCCAGCACCACACGCTCAGGCTCTCGGCAGGACCCCAGTTCCACGCACCCTGGGCTACGGCTGAGAGGGGAAAGGGACAGGTGGCCACGCAGGACCTGCCCCTTGGGCCCCACTGGTGGCCAGCACAGCCCTGGAGGCTGGATGACGGATGAACTCTCACTGCTCCTGCCCAGTGCCTGGCCCCAGGGTAGAAGCGGGACCCCAGCTCCTCCCTGCTGGCCTAACAGTCCTCCCTCTCCACTTCCACCGGCTCACACACACAGGATGCTTTCTAGCGAGCACGGGATGTGTGGAACAAAATCAAGGATCGACTTCGAGAAACAGACACAGAGTTCGTATTTTGATGACCCAGTTTCCCTAGAAATGCTGTCAGATGCCCCTGGAGGCTGCAGGAGGCAGGAGGAAAAAGTGCTGCTGGACTGCTGACCTGAAGCGGTTCCGAGAGGTCCACGCCTTACACCAGGTCCTCCCTGCTCTTCGGGGCCCTCATTAACTCCAGCGAAGACAATGACCTGCCCAAGACCAAGCGACGCACAGAAACCTCACACACACCGGGCTTTGCTGGGCCAGGTGTGAGATGTGGAACCCTGCCTGGGTGATGGCGCACTGGTCTCCTACCACAGGCTCCCCAGCTCCTCTACCCGAGCGCACTGACGTCTGCTGGCCCTGGCTCCTTCGTTCACTCCAGTCTTACGGGCAATCTAGTGCTCAGAAGAGCCAGGCGCGGTGGTGCACGCCTGTCATCCCAGCACTTAGGAGGCTGAGGCAGGAGGATTGCCTTGAGTGAGAGGCTAGCCTGGGCTATACCGAAGAGCCTATCTAAGAAACGAACACACAAACACAAGAGCCAAGGAGTCTTTGTTTCCCTCATTGCAAACTTCCAGCTGCAGAAATTGGTGCTTCACATTCCCAGGGACTCACAAAGAGAAGGTCAGAGGGCAAGGAGAAGGCGGCTGCAAGAGGCACCAGACGGACCCCAAACAAACGGCACAGAAATGAGGTCTCCGGCAGCAAACGCTACTCCAGCTCCAACTTCCCGGTGGAGGCTGCTGGGCAGTCAAAGCACACAGGCTGCTCAGGACGGCCCGCGATCACATCCGCGGGCACCACGCGGCGGAGGAGGGTCAAGGTCCCGCGAACGGGGAAGCCACCTCATCCCCACCGAGAAGCTTCAGAAGGCACAGCCCCTCCTCCCTCACCCGCCGCCTCACCCCAGGGCCCGAGCCTCTGGGTGCTGCGTCTCCTTCGAGAAGAAAACAAAACGAAGCCCAGCGAGGATTCCCCCCACCCCGCGAGGGGAAGACCTGGAGGATGGGAACTCAGAGCGGCCACGCCACCCAAGCGACCACAGATAGAGGGACGTCCAGGCGCGCTGTCAGCTGGACGAGGATCCGGCAGCTGGCTGCAAGGGCCGAGCGACGCACATGCAACAGCCGGGCCCGAGCG